TGATATTTCACCACATAAATTTGATGTCTTCTTTGATTGTTTTATTTTCGTGATTGTCTCTGTTGTTGCATGTTAGATAAATGTGAGATTTGTTAAGCTGAAATAGTTACTCCCTCATTATGAAATCTTAGCAAAGCCCGTAAGCAATGAATTTCATGAGATTGGGTTATGCTCATCCATAAATTACTTTCATAAAGATTTTCCTCATTAGATATCATTATTATTCTTGACAGGAACTGGATATCTTCAGCTATGGAAAATTCTAGATCATCTAGGATCAGAAATATGATGCATGTTGGAAAAAATTCTCTTCTGCCTCCTAAATGTCCATTCCCTAGCATTTCCCCATCATATGCTGAGTACATCCCTAATTCAGCACCTGCCCGAAAAGGTATCCCAGCACCTAGAAATGGCAATTCACAACATCAACGTGCTTCCTCTGAAAGTTTTTTGATTGAGGAACAGCCATCTTGGCTTGATGAACTTCTCAATGAGCCTGAAACACCTGCGCATAGAGGAGGTCATCGACGCTCATCGAGTGATTCCTTTGCATATATTGACACATCTAATGTTGGAAACGTGAATGGCATAGATCAAGATGATAATAAGTTCAAAAATTTAACTTCAGTGCCTTCTTGGGGATCTCAGGACTTCGATCTTTACAGAGATATTAGACATGGTTCTTTCTATACAGACCCAAAATCTTCAGCCAAAACCAAGAACAGCATGTGGGATGCACCTGTGAATCCAGTTGCATCATCTCATGGCCGTCCTGCTCCTAAGGACGCTACCATAGTTCAAACTGGAGTATCATTGAGTACTTCCCCAGAAGTAGACAAGAATTCATATTCTTCAACTGGAAAGCAGGATCCGCTTGAATCTGATCCTTATAATCCAAAAGATTCTTCTCATGCCAAATCATCTTCATCCGAAACAGACACCAAACGGGCCAAGCAGTATGTTAACTCAACTTGACATTTTACCTGATAAGTTACAGCAATTGGCTTTTTAATGTTCTTTGACCCTATTGCAGCCATCTGCTGTCTTTGCATTTGATGCATGCTTGTCTTGGGTTTGGGAGGACACCTAAATATGTGGATTTCTTTTAATCTTTGAGTCCTTGTTTAGTAAGATCTATACCATTAATATGAGGCCATTCATGTGAATGATACAAAGTTATGTTCGGGGATTTAATTTTAATTGCATTAGTTGTGGGTTAAGCCTAGCTTTATATCAATCTGCTTTCCATGAACCATCGTGTTAGATCACCACGAATTTACACTGAATATGGCTTAGATTGAACTTAAATGCATCATTTTTAAGCTTAGAATATGTTTTTGAATCATAAGATTTTATGACGTGGTACATAAATCAAGCCACGTTTGAAATCCATTCTAAGCCTATTTTTCATGTAAAATCAGTTACAATCTAAATTGTGAGTTTGAATTATTGTCACAATATTCTGAAGACCTACTCCTGAAAATCTTGTTCATCTGCTTATAGTTAAAATGATTTTAACTAATTTTATAACTTTATTTACCTTTTCTTTTATTTTAGCTTTTAGCCTGTTGACTCTGGAGATGATATTTCATCCCCATACTGCCCCATAAAAAAAAATTGGTTTCTCATAATACACTAGCTAGAATCTCAGTATCCTTGATATTTGTCTTATTAACTGTCTTGGCCTATTGGTTATGGTGATATGTGCTTTGTATATATTGAAAGCGCTACTGAATTAACCTGAAATATTAATCACAATTCTATGCATCAATATAATATTCAGGATGCAGATATGATGTTGTAATGCATGGACACTCTTATAGAATATTTATACTTAGTGATACCAATTCTTCTCCCTTTTAATTTAAATGAACTTATCGTGTATAATTTTACTTTCACAATAAAATTCTACATTGTGTCCTGAGAACTTGGTGCTGTTTTTGTGTCTTCTCATTACGTCTCACTTGAGCATTTTGATAGTAAACTACAAACTTTGGTAAATAATTAGTGTTTCAGTAAGCTTTAAACTTCATTTCTAATGCAGGCAGTTTGCTCAACGTTCACGGGTCCGAAAACTTCAATACATCGCTGAACTGGAAAGAAACATGCAAGCTCTACAGGCAGATATTCCCCCTCTGAGAAATTTTAGTATCGATCTTACCTTGACATGTTACATCTCTAAAATTGCTGATATCAACTTTGTTGTTTATAAATATAGGCTGATGGTTCTGAAGTTTCTGCTGAGCTCGAATTTCTCAACCAACAGAATCTTATACTAAACATGGAGAATAAAACCCTGAAGCAACGATTGGAAAGTTTGGCTCAAGAGCAGCTTATAAAGTACTGTAAGTTTTTGTCCCATAAGTTAATTTTCCAGGTTGTTAGTTTGTTATTTTGTGTTAATTAGGCATAACTGGGGAAAGAAAATTTATTTTTACACAGTAGGTCTTGGAAAGGAAATTGAAAGAGTAGGTGGATAATTTGGGCTTTAAAACGTGTCTTCAAGAGGTTTGATATGAACCTTGATTTAATTTCATATGTCAGCATCAAATATATGGGCATTGTATAAGATAATCCTAGCCACCCCAGGTTGATGGATTCTCTGTAAAGACTGTAATTGTAATTATGCACCAGTCCGCAAATTATATCAATTTTGATTTACTCCGTAAGTAAAGCATAAAATTAACACATTTTCCCCTCTGATTAGATATGAAAAAGTACTGCATCATGCCCACTAGTGTTATCATTATTGAAAAAGTACATGTCAATGTGTATTTCGGATCAAGTTTAAGAACATAGCAAACCCACACTTTATTCTGACTTAGGTTCCTAGTATATGTTCTACAACAGTACTGCTTCTTTTAGCTGTCTGACGGTAGGCACTAGTCTGCTGCATTAACTTGTTTCTGTTCAGATATAACTAAGACCTTTGTTTTAGCTGTCTGACGGTAGGCACTAGTCTGCTGCATTAACTTGTTTCTGTTCAGATATAACTAAGACCTTTGCATAGTCAGGGATAGAATAGTGAATTTTGAAATACAGATTATTATATAATTGTAAAACATTGGAAAGCTAGCATCACGTTGGTTTTGGAATTGACTTGTATTAGAGAGTAGCAATTGGACCGCAGAAAGTTTTCCACTCTTAAGATTTCTCTGAACTAAATTTGCGGATGTTGTTTGCAGTTGAGCATGAAGTATTGGAAAGAGAAGTCGGAAGATTACGAGCCCTGTATCAGCAGCAGCAGCAGCAACAGTTTTCATCTAGCCATCGACGTGCTAAAAGCCGAGATCTCGACCAGCAATTTGCTAATCTTTCACTGGAACCCAAGGAAGCAAGTTCTAACAATGATACACCTTCTGGGTATATCTAGTGTGAGTTTTTACGGTGCCTCCTAATCATTCCTTGACTGATGTCTCCTTGCCTTGCCAATGACAAAAATCGAGGTTTCCTTTCATGGGATCAAGCCGCATTCTTCCACTCCTGAGGCTGGACCTCGTTGCCCGGTTTGTTTATCTTATGCTATTCTATTATGTTCTTTGTAATGTTAGAATTTTTCAATTTTCTTTATTAAAAGTAGCGTCGCCATGTGCGCCTGGTAGTCTGTGCCGGAAAATAGTTGTTCTGGTGGATGACTCTCCTGAGGTGGTTCTTCCAAACATGATTGATGTTAATGACCATCCCTGTATGTCTTTAAGTGATTACATTTATAAATTTCCCTTAACGTTCTGCCTGAGGGAACACTGCCATTAGACTGGAAATTGGTTTATGAAATCTAACAATTGTTGATTACGGGTACTTATTAGTCTCAAACGTTTGTCAAGAATTGGTGGAATCTTAATGAACGAGTGAACGACCAACGTATTTCAAAGACATGACAGGTTAGGTACATAGTATTTGACACTAGTTTTAGCTCTTCTCTCTCCTGTAAAATTGTCCTGTCCTGCCTTCTGTGTTCATTCTCTCCCTTGTACTTACAAAAATTGATGACATTTTAATTTGATTTCAATAAGATAATTGTACTTTAATTTTGATTGATTGGGTAACTACATTTTAATTTGATTTCAATTGGATAACTGTGTCCAATTCCCTCACTTGGCCTAACGAAAATTGATGACATGACATTAAAAAAATGATGGACGTCATTCATCTTAGTGACGATTGCTATTGAACCAAAGTATACTTGCCGTGATCAGAATTTTTTATTTTATGACTCAATTGATGCTATCTTTTTCATAGTTATACTAATATACTCATAACTTAGTTTCCTCGAGACCATGCCAACCAAAGCACCATTCGACATTTCACAATGTCAAATAGTAGTTGAATTGATATCTAGGACTTCAATTTTTTTTTAGTGTAATACGGTATACATCAAGTGTTTGTCCTCGACCCCATACGAGAAATGAGTATGCAAACTTTCATAACGATAGGAATCATCAAGAACGGCAAAGTGATACGTACGGGTCGATGGAGACCTGTTGATGTCGAATGCAATCTAATGACACTCAATTGTCCATGTGAGCAGTTGTGCTAACTCATTTTTATTCAACTCTTGTTTGGCTACAATTTCTTAATATTCATGTTTTTTCAAGTTTATTTTTAAACATACATTTTACGAAATTCACAACTTTTATCACTATTTCTACCACACATTTCATCAACTTTTATCGATATTTACTATCCAATCTAATTTTTATCAAACCAGATGGGGCTCTCTGAAATGCAGAATTGACAAAAGACATTGTCGATCACTCAACTACTTAACTTGGTTTTACTCTGCTTATTTTACAGAATCTAGAAATTTATACAGTAGTAATTCAACAGCGTATGCAGCTCTGAGTAGTACAAGCGAAATATGCTCATAATATGGCAAAAACCTAATTACGCTTGTCCTCTCCTCAATCCTTAAATGTAAACCAAATCATACATGGAAACAATTATCCCTTGATCTGCGGCAAATGAACACATCAACCCTAAGCATGACAAAGCAAAAGCAGTTTGTTTCCAATAAAAACTTAAGCATTAATAAACTAGCAGAAAGTCGAAAAAATACATATATAAATGATACAACATCTCTTGTAGTAGACAACTGATGTTATGTATGTAAAATTCAGCTAAAGAAAGTAGTAAAAAGAGAATAGGTTCAATATTAAAAGCAGTTCAACCACGCCTGCGTCTCTTGAAACTGTCCTCGTTAAAGGACTCCCATTTCTTGTGTTCAAGATTGCTAAGATCATCAAGATCCGCTATGGCAAGTAAGTATTGTGTTAGCTTTACAAGTTCCTGATCACTGTCTCGATTTGCATGGGCTTTTCTGAATGGTTTTATAACCAAGCCATTTTGTGGGTTCATCACAAAATTCCTTCGTAGATCATCAAACATTATAGTGTTTTTGGCACTGTAAAACTGCAGATGATATAGAGACGTTAAGTCAGGAAAAGGTTACCTAAAATATATATATGTTATATTGAAAATAAGTTAGTTATTTTGACATTAAGGAAGAATAACTTTCAAAATGAGTAAAATTTACTTGAAAGTGATAAAAGAACATAATCATATATGATCGGAGCAAAAGTTACTTTCAAGCTTGAACAAACATAACTTCAATTTGCAAGATGCGATATTTACTCGAGATCAAAGCCAGTTTCCACCTTTTCTTGACAAATTCAGAATAGATTGTGCTCTTTCAGACAGCGGCAGACATTGCAAATACTTTTAAAGAAACTTAGCAAATGAGACATAGAAGCTGAAAAAAGGTAGTCGAACCTCAGGAAAATGAGCCCAAATCAGTCCAAGTGGTTTGCAATCAAAGACCCCACGAGTATCTGATTGAACAGTGATCATTGCCATATGATCCAGGAGAGCAGTAATATTGTAGTTTGGATTATTGAGAACACCAAGTTGCCCCATCTTTAACTCAACCCACTTCATACTGCAGAAATAAAATAAATACATTGAAATTACATAATTTAGTTCTCCAAACACTTTATTCTTTAAATTACATGACACAACACATGACATGTCGAACACTTACATGACCAGTCTCCCAAAAGTATCCCTTGGGCATTGTAAGTTTTTATAACATGTAAAATATAGAACATAGAAAGTGGTTCATCAAACATGTGTCCTGAAGCGTTTGTAGTATTGAAATCCGATATATGTCATCTGACATGACTTGACACATGTCAAACACTTACATACCGCCTTAGTAAGAGTATCCGTGGTTCGTATATTTTAACAATTTCTCTTAATATTCAAGTCCTAATAAACCAATGACTAATCAAGAATTTCAATAGCGTAACAAAATAATAAGTGTTTTAATAAATCTCAAAATGGCTTCAACGGACTGCGTTAATATAGTGTTCTTCATATCTGAGAGTGCACCCTCAGGGACTCCTATTACATAAATCAAATGAATTATTAATAAAAACTTTCCACATTGATTTGAAAATCATAGCGTCAATTCTCATAGTGTTCTTGATTAGTGTGCATAAATCGTAATGAAGCTCTCCCGTACAATAAAGCTTGAAAATTCAAAGAAGTGCATTTTATGGCTCCTCTTATTCGGGCTGGAAGACAATGGTCGACTCTGTTGAGAAAGACTTTGAATGGAATTGAAACCCTTCAACCTCGTCAAACACTCAACGACTTCCTTAAGTGCTTTTGTTTATCAGCAGATATACAAACACAGTCCTCTATCCATCTATAAAGAGGAATACTCCTAATGCCTCTAGTCCTACTGCTTCTGCAGTCTGCTAATGGTATCCCAAAAGTGGTGCAGTTAGAGTGCCTTGCACACCATTTAAGGTGGGTCCATATTCGGCTGTGCTCTGGCACTAAGTCATACTGGCATGCAATAAGAAAAACAACCGTTCCATATTTTTCATTTAAGCAATTAGGAAATTATAAATTATGCTAATTATTTTAAAGAGCATGACTTGGGGAAAAAGCATATTAAGATTTAGATAGTGCAAGGGTATTCCTAAAATGTTCATTAATTATTAAGAATCTATCAATAAGACCGTCAACTATGGCTACTAATACTCAAAACAGTTAGAATGAAATTAATTGCAAGAAAAATTCAGTGGAAGCAAATATTACATCCTCTCAGTCCCAATTATTTTAGTTAATTTTGAAAAAGACTCATTATATAGAGATTTACAAACGTGAGATACAACAACAATGATGCCTTTGTGACCTTTCAATTTAAATTGTCTTCTAGTGTGTAAAATTGGAGTGTCTGATTAAAAATATGATTTTTTCGAAAATAATATATTATTTTCTAATGGAAGTGTGGAATAATGCAATACAGGAAGCACTGTTTCCTAATCTTAATCAGAATTGTTAAAAGCAATGAAGGGATACAAGTGTCTTTAGTTAAGACAAGCAATTCCAAGCTCATTCCACAAAAAAGTGTTTCTAATTGATAAAATAATAAAAAAGGGAAAAAATTTGACCTGGTGGCAGACCATATCATGATGTCATACTCCGCGTAAACGGCCGA